CATATGGGATAATCTCATATCATCCCTCTGCAAACAAACATGCCAATCCTCCTTGAGTTTTGAATTTTAATTTATATTTTTAACATATGTATATAAAGAAAATATTTTAAATAAAAAATTTACAAAAATAATATTTAGAATGAAATGTATGGCATTTTAAAATTTATAGTGGTTGTTTTTGTTGAAAATAAAAAGGACCGTAACAAGCGACATTATTATGTATAAAAATTCTATGAAAAAATCTCAATACAATGGTAATGTCTATTAAGTTGAAAAATTATTAAAAAAAAGTCAATAAATTATAGAAAAAAATTAAAGATTTCATTTTATTTCTACTTTTTACACTTTTTTTGTGTGTAAAAAGTTAGAAATTTATCCTAAACATAATAATTTTTTGGGAAAATAATCAATAAGTCATATTCTGCTCTTAAGATTACTAACGAGTCCTTCAATATGGATAACTAAGTCCTATTTGCGATAAAGGGTTCCCAAAAGATTCATTGCTCTATAATGGTATGTTTCCAATTTTACCTTCATATTTAATATGAATAACAATTTTATAAATAACTTAATCAAAATTTTAATTGTAAAAATTATAGATCTTATATCTATAATTTTTTTATTTTATGAAAATCATTTAATTTGAACAATTAAAAGTAATTTACTTATAAAATTTCTAATACATTAAAATTATTTATGAAAGTTTTTGTTCATATTTTAATGAAAAAGATAAAATGAAAATAAAATATACTATTATGAACAATTGAATTTTTTTTACGTATAGCAATTTATTAAAAAAAGATTTATTTGTTAATATTGAAATTTGATATAATTAAATAATAATTTTCAAAACAAAATAGAACTTTTTAATGATTTTTTCATTGTGATTTATGATTTTTTTAATACAATATCATGATTTTTATAAGTAAAAAATATTATTTTATTTAGATTAAAAATATTTCCATATTAATTGAGGGGTAAAATTGAGATAACATCCACCATTATAGAGTAATGAATTTCTTGAAAATATATTATAAAAAAATAGGATTTAGTTGTTCATATTGAAACTTGATAGGACTTGATAGTAATCTTAAGCGCAAAATATGACTTATTAATTATTATTATTATTATTTTTACCTTATATTTAAATTAAAAATTTTATTAAAATAGTGTTAGCACAGGAGTCCTGAGGATGGCAAACATGATCTATGGAAATAAGCAAATCATTGGCTGGATCGTGTTAATGAAAAGGTGGATTTGTCCCATGACTTTACCGAAATCTAAGGTTTTGTTTGGTTACAATTTTCAAAAATTATTTTTAGAATAAATTATATTGGTGCTTTTATATTTTGGTTCTTATATTATTTTGATTTTTTCACTTTTAATTGGTTTAATTTTGATTTTTAATTTTAAATTGTGTTATTTTGGTCTAATTGATAATATTGTTAGTGTTTTTGACAAAAAATAATTATTAAATTAGTTGAGTTAATCTCATTGAGTTTAGTAAATTTATAATTTTACTCTAAAAAATATGACACATGCCACTTTTATGTATATTTTTCATAAAAAATGCTAAGAGTTATAATCAATTGGATCAAATTAAACAAAATCATAAATTTAGTGTCAAAATCGAGTCAAATGAAATTATAAGGACCAAAATAATAAAGACCAAAAATACAATGACTAGTGTCACAATTTGTCCATATTTTTATATGGGTTTTCTTTTGTTTTTATTGATTTCTTATTTATTTATTTTATTTTTTGGATATATCAAAATTAGATGGATCTAAAAAGTGACAAGGTTAAACTAAATTATGAAAAAAATCACTAAAAATAAACAAGAACCAGAGCAAAAATGCACACAATTTTTTGTTTGAATTTTCATTTATTTTTAATATTTCAAAAAAATATTTTAATCAATTTGTTTTACTTTTTAAAGGCATCTTGATTAGGCGCATCTAAAAAATACAAAACTTTGATTAAAATATCAAAAAAATTACTAAAAATAAATGATAACTCATCTAAAAATAAATTTTGAAAAATCAAGCCAAATAAACATTTTAATATCGTGTTTTTCGTACATGATTATTGAAGTTGGTTTTTACATACAAACATATTTTTAAAGGGTTAATAATAGGTGAAACGTCTACGTGAGATCCTATATTATTTAGTTTAAGATTTAATTTTTTTTGGTGACAAGGATATGTTTGGAAAAATCACCAAAATATTAGCTTAAAAGATGCTAGTAGTGGCTGGTTGCAATGAGGAAGATAAATATATGAATAGACAGGTGACATTCGAATAGATAAATGACACGTGTACAATTAGATGACATTTGACACAAATAGGTGACATCTTAACAAATAGATAAATAGGTGTCTTCATTTTGTTATTTCATCATGTAAGTCTTTAATAGAAGTTAATAATGTGACAAGCATATGATTATAAAATGAGGGTAAAAGAGAAAAATCACAAAAAATTTATCATCTATACATATTTCGTCCTAAAATTTACATCAAATTTTGATTGTATTTAGCTAAAACGAAACGTAAATTATGAACAATTAAGGAGATAAACTAGGGTTTTGCAGAAATTGGAATAATGAAACTTTGTTTTCTACAGTAACAAAGTCTACGATTTCCCTGCCGCGTTATTTTTTTTTGATTTTCAAAAGCTCTATTTTTCTTACCTCTTCCTCCTCACTTTCAACATATAAACACATACACACACACATACACATATTGTATTATATAACTCTCACATACTTATTACGGAAGACAAAGTATATATTGGTAGAAAATGAGAACGATCTCCTTTCCCGCTCTCATTTTGTAGTCACATGTTTGTTACATTATTGAATTCTGTTAAAAACTTAAATAATGAAGTAATATAAGGGGAAAATTGACACTTGATTAGTAGGGGTTGACTGTCATAATTTTTTGTATAGGGACCATAGTGGGATTTAACCAAAAGTGCAAAAAGTTGACTATTACGATTTCATGTGTAGGGACCAAAGTGAGATTTAATACAAAGTGTAAGGGTGCAAAGTATAATTTACTCGTGACATTATTTTAATGTGAACACTATTGCTTTTAGGGTTGGGCATAGGGTTATCCAATCCGCCCAAACCGCCCTACCCGATCCGAACCGCACGCGTGTGGGCGATTTCGCAAACACATTAGGGTAGGGTGCGGTTTGAATTTTATATAAATTTCGGATTGCGGGCGGTTTGCTGGTTTGAACCGCACCCGTCCAACCCGCCCGCATTAATACATTATTATTATTATTATTTTTTTCCCTCTTTCAAATCTGACCGTTCGTTCATCTCGTCTCATCTCATCTCACGCACCTCATCTATAACAAACAAAACAAAAAAAACTCTAATGATCTATCTACCTCTCAAACTCAAAAACACGATTCTCTCTCCCTCACTCTCTCATCTCATCACTGTCTCTCTCACTCTCGTTGTTCATCTTCTGCACTGCACCGATCGTCTTCGTCTCACTCTCTCATCGCACCGATCGACTCACTCTCTCATCGCACCACCGATCGACTCACAAGTAAGCCTCTCTCTCTCTCTCAGTCTCTGTCTCTCTCTCTCTCTCGCCCCGATCTTTGAGTTTTTTTTACAATATATATATCAGATATCTCTCTGATCTGTCTCCCTCACTCTCTCATCTCATCAGTCTCACTCTTTGGTTTTGCATGCACTGATCGACAGCAGAAGTTGCAAAACCCCATACTTTTGGTAAAAATTTTAAAAATATTCACTAAAAACAAAAAAACACAAAAACTAAAAAAAATAATTTTTAAAAAACTTAATCCAAATAATTCAAATGAAACCTTAATTCAAACAGATCTTATATGAAGCATTACAGAGAGAGAGAGAGAGAGTAAAAAAAAAAGGCTTGAGGAGCTCTTCTCAGCCACCCCCGACGCGCCGCTGCCACGCCGTTGCAACTCCGCTGCCGCTGCCACGCCGCCCGCCATACTCCAACAGATTGAAGGAAGAAAATCACAGGTTCGTTCATCCTCCAAACTTAAAATATTAAGGCTTTGATTCCAAAAATTAAGAAAATTTTCTGAGCTAAACACTCTCTCTCTCTCAGTGTTTTTGAGCTGTAGAAGAATTTCATGACATTTTGATGAGGGAAAGAAGGAGACCCACCTTACTTTCTCTTTGTAAATGATTTTTTTTCTCTAACCTCATTTCTTGGTATATCAGTCGATGAACTCTTCCTTTGTCTTCACATTTCTAATCTTTTCATTTATATATATATATATGTGTGTGTATGTATGAATGTATTTTAGCTTTTGTGTCAGTTGTAATTAGACTTACACTATGTCTGGGAACCTAAGAAAGAAAAGCAAAGAAAGGATTACTTAAGTAATAAGAGAAAAGAAATGAAATGAAATGATTGTGATTTCTCTCCTTTTTGTTTGGATAAGGAAGAAATAAAAGAAAAGAAATGATTGTGATTTCTCTTATTCTTGTTTGGTTAGGTTTCATTAAGAGAAAAGAAAAGAAATTATTTTATGTTATATTACCAAAATAACCTTTTTATATTTTCAATCATTTTATTTCTTTTATTTTTTTAGGGATAAAATTGATATTATGAAAATAGTGGTTTCTTTTCTCTCCTAATCTCTCCACTTTTGAGAAGATTGAAAATGAGACTTATAACATAAATAAGTTTCTCTCCATTTCTTCCAATTTCTCTCTACTTAGGTTATCCAAACAAAAAAAAATACATATCACTTTATCTCTTTTATTTTCACTCCAAATCGCTCAATCCAAACATAGCGATAGAATTTGGTTGTTCCCAGATCTGTTCTTTCTTTTGGCTATTTGGATCTTGGATGAATTGTTTCCAGATCGTGATGAATTTTGAATCCAAAATATTACTGAAAATATTAGGGACTTTTTTTTTTTGAAATTACTGACCAATATTTTGAGCCGTCGGATCACTCAGGGATCACTTCAGGAAATCCCACTCTAGAGGAATCTCTCTCTCTCTCTCTGAAAGGTAAATCCCTCCATAATCCAAAATCATATACCCCAATTTCTGTATTGTGGGGACTTCTTCAGTTTCTCCATTGAAAATGAGCTCTGCCGCCTCCTACGGTTGCGTTTATTTCGACCGTCGATGCTTTCGGAAGGTATTTTAATTTCAACTTTCTTTTCTTTTCTTTTCTTTTCGTTTCTTTTCTTCCTCAGTTTTCCGACCAACTAAACAGATTGGTAGATGAAATTGTCTGTTTTTTTCCTTTTAGACTTTATATCACGGTTAAAATTACTTCTTTTTGGGAGTGAGTTTGAAGTATGAGCTAGTGTGAGTTATTTACTTCAGGTCTGTTGGAGTTTTTTTTTTTTTTTTTTTTTTTTTTTTATGTGTTTGAAATTGTAGGATGATGTGAAAAGTTCCAAGGGTAGGAAGCTGTATGTTTGTAATTCAGTGGCCTCAACACCGCAGGGCTTGCAGTTTGCAAACACCAAAGTGCAGATTCCTGAAAAGACTGTTCGAATTGGTGTTCTTGGAGCCAGTGGTTACACTGGTTCAGAGGTACAACTCTTTTCTTCTTTTAAGTCTCTCTTTTGGGTGGTTGTGAGGAGAGAAGGGGTGGGGTTCAATTTTTGATTGCTCACCATCTTTGAATTTGTAAGCCCGATGTCCCGACTTCGACTCCTATCAGGGCCAGCCAGGCTGGGCGAACAATACCCAGTATCTGGAGTGTGGTTTAGAATGCCCGCCTATATGCAAGTCCGGAACTTACCACTACACAATTCAGTTTGTGTGGCCCTGCTCTGTAGCATCACCTAAGGTGACCTCCGGGGCGTTGGCTCCCTTAGGGTCTAGCTCTGGAGGTCACTCTTATGTTGAATTTGTATAGAATTTTGTCTTCTTTTTGTATATTGCACTCTGTTATCTGTAGAGCTTACACTTGTCAACAGATTTTGATATTAATCACTCTTTCTAGTCATGCATGGTTTCATTGTGATTTGTATTTATTTGCATATGGCTGAATTTTTCATGATGCATGCACATATTTATGTGTAATTGTGTGTGCAACAAATTTCATAGCTCTCTCACCTTGCGTCTCTTCCCAATATTGTCAATATTCAATATAGCATCAAGCAAAGCTGTCCAAGCAAAGAAGGCGACATTTGGAGTGGCCTTATACCTCCAAATAGCTTCCCAAACACGGAAGAAAGTGCCACCTCTAAGCATCCGGTATAAGAACAAACCGAGAACAGTCACCCCTCGTTGACCTCCATGCCAAAGCTTGTTGGCTGCCAAACTTAATTTCAAAACGCCCCAACAATCCAAAAGAAGCCTCTATCGAATCAACCTCTCAATCTTCCAAGGCCCTCGGAAACTCTGGACTCCACATAATACTTGTCGTAGTCACCTCTAAATAATCCTCTGCAGTCCAGAATTGAATAGTTAGGCCTGCTTGTAGCTCATTGTTTTTGGCTTTATAGAAAAGTTTTTTTTTGGCTATTTTGTATCTATTCTTTTTGCTATTTTGTTTCTCAACTTTTCTGCTACAAGCACACTTTTAAAAGCTTATTTTCCATCTGTCTGGTTTTCATACTATTAGAAACAAAAGGCATGTTTCTGTTATTGTACTTCAAGATCGGGTCCTGACCAAACTCTACTTGGTTGCTCTAGTTACTCTTATGATTTTATGAATATGAAACACATTCTATTCTGACGAGATGCTTAACTGGATGTTTAAGGCATTTGAAATGCACATGTTATGAAACTCTTTTGTAGAGAGGATGAGCATTTTTTGGACTTGGACTTGGACTTGGGCTTGAGCTGTCCATTTATATATGGGTTATCCTTCAAAAAATTTTGAACTTCATGTAATGGCCCACCCAAACTCAATTCGCCCCCCTCAATATTTTAAAAAGCCCACTTTGTGCAAGTGTTTCCCTCCAAAATCTAATGCTCCATGTAATGGTCCTAAAAAATTCAATTTACTCTCATGTTAATAACATTGGTGAAAAATCTAAAATCCCTAAGATTGTGATTTGTGACTATGACTCAATATCGACAATGAATAATAATTCTCAATTAAACAATCATAGATCTAATCCAATTGTAGGAGAATTGTACTTAGGACTGTTCAAATATTCGCCCGACCTGATACTGTATGGGCAGTTTCGAAATCAGATTCAGTTGATAACAAGTTTAGAATATTTGTTTTTGCAGTTTGGCGGTCAGATGTTAGATTAGCCGCCCAAAAAATCAATCAACCTGACCCAACAACAATAAGAAGATAAGATATCCAGTATTATTGGCACAAGAGATTACAAAAAAATCTTTTGCTCTGCCTTATTTAATATATTCTAGAGATCTTCAAATTTGTACTAATTGATATTCTGGGTATCTGCAATTGATACTTATTGATAATCTTGATATCTATGTCAACAATTCGTACTTATTGCAGGAGGTGGACCTACCCTCTCCCCTCCCCTCCCCTCCCCGCCCCTCTCCTCTCTCTCTCTCATTCTCGAAAGTTGCTGTTCTCTCTCTCATCTTGAAAGTCCCCCCCCTCCCCTCTCTCTCTCTCTCTCTCTCTCTCTCTCTCTCATTTTCAAGTCCCTTCGTAGTTTGAAAAAAATGCCATGGAGAATGGAGAGGTCATTGCTTGCTTTACCCACTGTCTTCCCTTTACCATTGTCGCTGCCACAGTTGACTTTGCCTTAGTCAATGCAATAGTCACTGTCGGTGGCATCTCTGAAGCCTCTTCAAAAGAAACCCTAGCCCCGTCAGCCCTCACTTTGCCAATCCCCTCCTTTTGTTTCGCTCCTATGTCTAGAGATCATATTTCTTTCTCTCATGCATTTAAATCTTTGTTGAAAGATGTTGGATGGGAAGGATATATTTTTTTTGAAATAATTTGATTTCTGGAAAGATGTTTGAAGATTAGTACAGCAGATGAGTGGTCAGTTTTGACCACCGACCGAAAATTTGCTAAATCTTTTTGTGCGGTTTTAATCATGTGTTCGGTCGAAATTGGGTAACTCTTTTTCCAGCATGAGGTTGTCGGTTCGGATGACGAGTATATAGTAAACCCGGTCCGACTCGACCCGTGAACACACCAAATTGTACTAGATCTACTATCAAGCAACAATAATGGACATAAATGATTTTATGTGGAAAAAACCACAATTGGACTCCTCCAATTATGATAAAAAAATCACGGGCTAATGACCACCAAAGCAATCCACCAAGAAGAATAAGAATTACACAAGGAATTCATAAAATCACTTAGCGAATCCACACCCAATTGCCTTAAATCCCTCATGCCTCTTTTAATGCTATCTTCACCTCGGAATTGCTTCTCCAAACCTTGAATCCACAATGCCAATGTCGAATCTACGATAATGAGCCACTGCGGAATTCACTGAAACATCTAAGCTCAAGTTCTCTAGAATCCACCGATAAACATCTCTCTAGGAAAGTGTAATTAAGCATGTTGATTCATAGATCACGCTCAATTCATCAAGGTACACATGTAGATCTCACTAGAAAACTCTCTTTCTCTTTTTCGCATGCCCGAAATGATTATTTGAATGTCTCAACTTAGATCCGACCTAAAAATGTACTTTTAAGTGACTAAACCGACTTAGACCGCTTGAGCGCAACTTTCTATGGTCAAGTGCACTTCGTGACTTTGTAGGAATTGTCTCTAAAACTCTAAGAAGTTACAAGCAAGACTTAACCGCTTGAGCGCCACTTTCTGCGCTCGAGCACACATGATGATTTTGTGAGATTTTGACACAAAAGTATTGGGATGCTGTAAGCTTGAATTGAGGCTTGAGTGCACTTTTTCCTTGCTTGAGCACAACTTCCTTTGCTCTAGTAAAATTAGGTTGGATTTGCATCTAAAACACTCGTCTTCACAAAAACAAAAGAACAAATGCGATTACAATTGGATGGAGTTTTGTCCAACGGGATCGCCAACTACAAAATGCCTAACAATTGGTAAAGTACATTTTAAAAAATCTTGTAATAAGCAAGGAATATAATTTAATTGATTGGCATGAAATAGGGGTGAGCAGCGGATATACCGATCCGCCCAAACCGAAGTGATCCGCCGCATTTTGGACGGATGCATGATGACGAGCGGACAGTTGCAGATTGATTTTTTCCAATCCGCTTAGTTTTGGACGGATGACGGATTTGAGGTTCCTTTGGCCGCAACCGAACAGTCAAACCGCGAGCACCCCTAGTAATTTGTAAGATTTTGTGTTTTCAATTTGTTTAGATATCCTATTTGTATTTTCAATTGAAAAAGAGTTTAAATATTATGTTGAATATATTCTGTTGAAAAGAGTTTTCAACTTGAATATATTTTTTGAATTGAAAAAAATAAATGTATTATTTATTTATATTTTTTGGTTTTTAAATCTAACTCTAAAAATAATAAATAAAAAAGATGATATATGCTGGTTGATTTTTGTTTTCAAAAATAGATATAAATGTAACAATACAAATGCATACAATCTCTATTATTGCTCTGTTCATGATAACTCTTTTTCAATTGAAAATACAAATAGAATATCTAAACAAATTGAAAACACAAAATCTTACAAATTACTAGGGGTGCTCGCGGTTTGACTGTTCGGTTGCGGCCAAAGGAACCTCACATCCGCCATCCGTCCAAAACTAAGCGGATTGAAAAAAATAATCCGCAAATGTCCGCTTGTCATCACGCATCGGTCCAAAATGCGGCGGATCACTTCGGTTCGGTCGGTTTGGGAGGATCGGTATATCCGCTGCTCATCCCTATTTCATGCCAATCAATTAAATTATATTCCTGGCTTATTGCAAGATTTTTTAAAATGTATTTTACCAATTGTTAGACATTTTGTAGTTGGCGATCCCGTTGGACAAAAACTCTATCCAATTGTAATTGCATTGTTCTTTTATTTTTGTGAAGACGAATCAATACACCAACCAGCATGAGAAACACAAATCAATACACCACTTCACAAACACACACATATACATCAGGAATTCATGAATATGAGCTAAGAAAATTTTATCTTGAATCCATGAAAAGCATGAGAATTCAATCTGAGCGCCACGGTGAGAATTGATTGTTGATGTTAAAGAGGATAAGGTTATGAAACCCTTTCGATATTGCTCTAAATTTTTCTCAGTTGAAGCCATGGTTTAAGGAATGGCGGTGCATGGATTTAGTGTTGACGACCACAGTGTAAAGTTTGTGTAGTTTCGCGTAATTTGGAATCAGAACCGTTCGTTGCATATCTAGTCCCGGCTGTGGAATTCTGTACTATGGCCTGTTTGGTTGAGGAATTTTGATTTCGCTTCGTGACTTTGCAGGATTTGTCTCTAAAACTCTGAGAAGTTACAAGCAAGACTTAACCGCTTGAGCGCCACTTTCTGCGCTCGAGCACACATGATGATTTTGTGAGATTTTGACACAAAAGAACTGAGATGCTATAAGCTTGAATTGAGGCTTGAGTGCACTTTTTCCTTGCTTGAGCACAACTTCCTTTGCTCTAGTAATATTAGGTTGGATTTGCATTTAAAACACTTGTCTTCACAAAAACAAAAGAACAAATGCAATTATAATTGGATGGAGTTTTGTCCAACGGGATCGCCAACTGCAAAATGCCTAACAATTAGTAAAGTACATTTTAAAAAATCTTGCAATAAGCAAGGAATATAATTTAATTGATTGGCATGAAATAGGGGTGAGCAGCGGATATACTTATCCGCCCAACTCTTTTTTAATTGAAAATACAAATAGAATATCTAAACAAATTGAAAATACAAAATCTTACAAATTCCTAGGAGTGCTCGCGGTTTGGCTGTTCGGTTGCGACATAAGGAACCTCAAATCCGCTATCCGTCCAAAACTAAGCGGATTGGAAAAAATCAATCCGCAACTGTCCGCTCGTCATCACGCATCTGTCCAAAATGCGGTGGATCACTTCGGTGTGGGCGGATCGGTATATCCGCTGCTCACCCCTATTTCATGCCAATCAATTAAATTATATTCCTTGCTTATTGCAAGATTTTTTAAAATGTACTTTACCAATTGTTAGGCATTTTGTAGTTGGCGATCCCGTTGGACAAAACTCCATCCAATTGTAATTGCATTTGTTCTTTTGTTTTTGTGAAGACGAGTGTTTTAGATGCAAATCCAACCTAATTTTATTAGAGCAAAGGAAGTTTGGCTCAAGCAAGGAAAAAGTGCACTCAAGCCTCAATTCAAGCTTACAGCATCTCAATACTTTTTTGTCAAAATCTCACAAAATCATCATGTGTGCTCGAGCGCAGAAAGTGGCGCTTAAGCGGTTAAGTCTTGCTTGTAACTTCTCAGAGTTTTAGAGACAAATCCTGCAAAGTCACGAAGCGAAATCAAAATTCCTCAACCAAACAGGCCTTAGTACAGAATTCCACAGCCGGGACCACATATGCAACGAACGGTTCTGATTCCAAATTACGCGAAACTACACAAACTTTACACTGTGGTCGTCAACACTAAATCCATGCACCGCCATTCCTTAAACCCTGGCTTCAATTGAGAAAAATTTAGAGCAATATCGAAAGGGTTTCATAACCTTATCCTCTTTAACATCAACAATCAATTCTCACCATGGCGCTCAGATTGAATTCTCATGCTTTTCATGGATTCAAGATAAAATTTTCTTAGCTCATATTCATGAATTCCTGATGTATATGTGTGTGTTTGTGAAGTGGTGTATTGATTTGTGTTTCTCACTCTGGGTGTGTTTAGTTGAGGGTTTTTGTGGATTCAGAAAATGGGTTCTGAAATAATTCACACTACTGTGATGCGTTAGTTTGCAAATGGATTTGTTTGTAAGTACAGAAAATTCAATCATGTTGATGAAAAATTCTATGTTTATGTAAAGCAAATGGATTTGGGTGATTTAATTTTGTTTATTTTGGGGGCATTGCTACAGGGAAAACATGTTATCTAGTTGTGTTTGTAAACTAAACTAAACTACACCCATTTTAGTAGATTGGGTACTGACCTAACCTGTGGCATAATTTGTCCAAAGTGAGTTCAAACCGACAACGCAATGGTTAGTAGCCTGAGTTTTAACTACTGAACCAGCGGCCCTCTGATTCGAAGGAATTCAATTCTCAAAATTAGGATTTGAGATTATAACAGGTGTAATGTTTCATGGGAGAATTACTAAGCACAGTAAAGTTATTTATATTGAGAAGAATTAGAAAAAACTTTCCCATTTTCAGTAGGAAGTTCAGATACAAAAGTCACTTTTGCTACTCAGCAATTGACACAAAGATGAAGTTTCCTGTCCACTAAGCATGGATTTTCCCTCTGTAATCTATTGCAACTGTAAGTGGAAGTTGGAAGCCCTCGTTGTCCTACTTTGACAGGCTAAAATATACAGGAAAAACCTATGTCTATGCATTAGTAGCGGATATTGTTTGAAACAAAGTGTTGAATTTTGTTGGGCATGTTCACAAAAATTTTCTCCCTTTTGTGGCATTGATGAGCAACATGATATGTGTGGTTTGATAGTACCTGTGGAGTTTTTTTGGGTGAATATAGTACCTGTGGAGTTGATTCCTTGATTGAGTAATTTTTTTCTTCTTCTCTGCAATGTGGTTAACTCTTTTTATTTTTATTTTATTTTATTATTATACTGGATAATTTACCTTTCTACTGGGTGTCAAAATTTGTTCTCCAGGCAAGGACGGATCATAGTTTCAAACAAAATATTATGTGTTTCTCCGTCTCCCTTGCTAGTTTTAGTTTCTCCACTGAAGGCCAATGATTTTAAAATGTTCGAGTTTAATGATATTTGGATCATTGCACTGTATATTTATTCCATCGGATAAACATAATTCCAATTGGGGATTCTTCTTACTACTAAATAAAATTAATCTCTTTTGCCTTCTAACTGCAAATTGTGGACTCATGTGATAGACAATGAATCTAAAGTATTTGAATCTGATGATAATCAGTGGATTAGGTAGCCCTTCTATTCAGATAAAGCTTTTTCGCGGTTATGTAACTCGATAAATCTATGGTTACTAGGAGGAGGATGTTTATTGAGTGCGGATTCTCATTTCCATTTTCTACAATGAATATTCAAAATGCACATCCATTTGTATCTCTAGGCAGAGCTCAACTGGACTGGGCTAATTTGTGATTATAATCACTAGAGTTAATTTGTTATCTAGTTGTCTTTGCTAGGGAAGTATTACTTTTGGGAAAATCAGCTGCATGGTGATTGAATCGATAAAGTATCTGTTGTTTATTTGTTGAGTAACAAAGCATCTGCCTCTCATGGTCTAATTCAATTTTATTCTTAATATTTTTTTTACTCTTTTGTTATGCATTTGTTTCAAAAACAACATTCTTTTCTTGTAGCAGGAGTGGTTACACTGTACTAAGATACACAGCTGTATTTTAAGTTTCAAACCTAATGGAGTATCTCAGAATACTAACTGCAAAAGCTTGTGTGCAATGAACATGACTGCTGGACAGTCGGGCAATCCTGAAAAAATAAATTTGGACCGAATAATGAACAAGGCGAGAAAATTTTGGGATAGTTTTCCTCAGTCAGTCAAGACCTTCCCCTGGAACAGAGCTTTGGAAAATTTCATTCAACTCATCCTCGACCTTATTGTGGCGGTCATCAAATACTTATGCTTACCTGTACTTGCAGTCTCTTCCCTTAGCGAGATGTCATACTGTGCCCACGAAAAAAAGCTGTTTCTTATTCCAATTCCACTGCTAGTTGGCGTTGCTGTCGCTGGGGTCTTACGAGAGACGGCCTTGGAACTATCTCCACTTCTCAAGGTTGAAATAATTTACGATGTCGATTAATATCTCAAGCAATGTTGTCCTTTTTACTTATTGAATAACATCACAACATTGTTAGTAACGTAGATCTAAAGGATGCTGTACATTAACTTCTCATTATGAGTGTCCCAATAAGTTATTGGAGGTTTGCCTGGTCGTTAATTGCAGGGCCTTTAGGATTAGTTCTCAGCTGTCTTGATTTGAGGCAACTCGAGCCCAATTAGGCTGGGCTGGGCAGGAGATATCCTGGATTATCAAAAATAACAAAAAAAAACTCTCATTATGTATCTGCTTGGGGTGCTTCATTTAATTATGCTTGGGAAATTAGTACTCCTGACATTTGAACCATAGCCCTATGGTGGGAAAATCTTGAAGCCTTTTTTTCTCTCACAATATGATGGTATTTGACTCTGTCATGTACTCACTCTCTCTCTCTTTCTCTCTCTCTCTCTCTCAACCCAAAACACAGTATCAACCCTTGTGGGGATGCGTTATTGTTGCCTCATTTCTCAAATTGGTTTTCTTCAATTCAGAGATCTAAAATATCACAATTTCAATTTGGAGAAATTAGGCGCTTCTGACATTTGAATTGAAACATTTTTTCTCTCACAAGATGTTGGTATTTGACTGTGTCATGTACTCTCTCTCTCTCTCTCAACCCAAAACACGGCTTGTGGGGATGCCTTGTAATAGTGCCTCACTCGCAAATTGGTTTTCTTCAATTCAAGGGTCTAAAATATTTTGATTTCAATTTTTATTAGTTACTTTATTATGTAGTATGTGTGTTTTTCACAATGATTTTCTTTTCTGGTTGTATTATCAGGATGCAGAAGTTCCTTGGCATCTGATTGCTATTGCAATTTTCTTCACATTACTCAAATTGCCAGGCCCATATTACCCCTACTGGGGGCGCATTTTTATTCCACACTTTGCAAATGGGGGATTATTGAGGACTCTATATTTTGCATTTCTGTGGTATAGAAGGCCCCAAAAGGCATCGGAACCACTGCCACCAGAGTCTTCCTGAGTATGATAAGCTCTAATTCTATGGGGTGAACAGGTAATCATTTTTTTGCTTAATTGTTTGAACTTTTTCATGGTAGAATGTATCACCACCATCACATGAAGTCATTCCTTCTTTGGTTCCTTCAATTTTGTACGCATAATTTTTGTCTGAGCTAATTTCACTTTTGATCCCCTAAACTGTTATCATTTTTTTTAATTTCATCTCTAAATTATCAATTTCATTTATTTAGTCCCTAAATTTTTTTTATTTTAGCTCATATGGTCCAAATTCCTATTAGAGACCGTCCATCTAAATCAGTAATGGTGGAAACCTAACCTAATGGGTAGAAATGTAATTTTGTAATTAGGACAACCTAAATCATACAACCAAACACACATTTTCTTATTCACATTATATTAGAGAACTTACACCTTGCAACCAAATGTTCATATTCTTCTCCACGCCTCATGTCAATATAGGCAATAAAAAAAATGAATGTTATGGTTTAAGTTGTTCATATTTTGAAATGAACCTTTTGTCCATCAAATTTATGGCGTCTTCAATTGAATCATATAGCTGAAATTAGAAATTTTAGGAATTAAATAAATGAAATTTATAGTTTAAGGATCAAATAGAAAAAAAATGGTGATAGTGCAGAAATAAATGAAATTAACTCTTTTTTCTTTTTCTTTTTCTGTAAACAAATTATAGCTCTTTGCAGAGTCTCATGGCATTGTTGACATGATCTGATACAATCATATTTATTTTTTAACTGTTTTTGTAGATGATACGAGGTGACACTTGTTTCAACTGTTTATGATGGAGGTGGTCAGAAAACATAATCCTTTGATTTTCAGTTCATCCAAACAGGAGGTTTTTTTTTTTTTGTGTGCGTGTGTGTGTGTGTGTGCACGCGCGCGCGCGTATTTATTCCAAATGATCTAGTGCTTTAGATGCTGGGAAACATATGAGTTCTTGTTTTTGACGACATAGGGACAACTTGTACAACCTTATCTAATGTGGTTGTAGTGCAATTAATCAAGGGTTGAAAATTTCTGAGAAATGCCTTCAGAGATTTATTTTGTTGGAATGTGCATATTGAAAGCAGAGGAAATGTTTTGCTCTCAATTTTAGTTGTTCTTTTGGTGATGGGCCAAATATGTTGTGCTGATTTTTCTGTGTTTTATGGTTGAAATATACACGAGATTTGAGAATACTTTTTTTTTTTTTTTTTTTTTTTTTTTTTTAGTTGGAATGTATGATTGTGTTTTTTCTTTACTGCCATCTACTAAATCTTATCCAAGGCAGGTTTGTCGACTCTAAAGCAAATGCTCAAACATGTCACTTTATTCTTAATTAGGTGCAAGGTCCGATTTTCACCATCCTTTGATGTTTTGCTGCAGCTAGCTTTGTCTGTGATTCATTTGGGTGGTTTTGAAACTTATATTTTGCTGTGGTCGTTGAGAAAAAGACATTATAGACATGAGAGTCGCAACTTGTAGCAAAAGAAAATTGGGTATAGAGATTTGTTGTAAGCTCTTTTAGAGAAAATGGTATGATTCTATGATACTGTGAGTCTTGTCCCACTCTTAAATACTTCAAGAAATTTGTTTGGTTGTGTTTTTGTTCTTTATTTTTTTATTTATCGAAAGAGATTTGAAATTTATTTAGCCAAGCCTCTATAAAGTCGCAATCATTCATTTGGTCAATCCTCAATAAAGTCGCAATAATTCAATTGATCTCATACTTCCATAAGTTTGTGTTTGAATACATTCTTGACGTGGAGCAGGCGGCTTGAATACACCCACCAAATTTCGTATTTGACATGGAATCATATACATTTGACCCCATACTTGACATGGCAATTAATTCTAGTACAAAATTATGTGAACTACACATGAAGCCATATTCATCTGATCACATACTCAAATTAGACCAAGTATTTAAAGACTAAATGATGCAAATTCATACTTATCATGGAGCCATATTCATTTTATCACAAACTCAAATTAGAGCAAGTAAATGATGCAAATTCATAATCAACATGGAGCCTAATACATCTAATCACATACTGAAATAACAAGAAGTTTCTTAAATAGAACTCACCCTTAAAAAAGAGCGTCTAAAGAACTTTATTGACATGACCAAGCCCTTTGGCAACCAATATTAACAGGCCGATTGTAAAATCATTCCATATGGAATTCTTTATAAAGCGCTGGATTTTTGAATCTCTAGGGATCCTCCAGGAATTTCTCCCAAAGCTTGTTGAATAATTTATGTAGATTCTGTCATTTCATTCATTCGTACTGAATAACAAGCTAACGAATCCCCTTCTTTTGCCATTGGAATTCCCAATCAAATTTGTCACAACATGGTCCTAATGCAATCCAACAAACTAACCAAACGAGAGTCAAGAAGATGACAAAGTTATAATACAAATATTAGAAGCATTGGACAACATATTGGTGAATAACCATCTTATGGTACATACAATTACAAATGCCAGTTGGAAATAGAAAATATACAGAACAAAGCGAAAAGTGTCAATTGTCCCTTGAAATGACCAAATCATCTGATCCTCCGATGTGGGATTTTGCTACAATCACATTGCATAGACTATTTCTCCACTGCTATCGATGTCGAGATCACTATCGAGGTCATCATCCATCTCATCATCGATATCAAGGCTGCCGGTTAGATACTGGTTGAGACTCTGCGTCCCAGCTGCAGGTACGGTAGCCTCAGCAATTATCTGCATGATTTCCTCAATACTCTGCATGGGTTGATCGGGCTCTTCAAACTGGTTGTTCATTGTTTTTTCATCCACGAGGTCTGCTGGGAGGTTCCTTAGAAACCACCTGTCGTTCCAGATTTCTGACATGGATATCCTCTGTTGAATCCAATAAAAGCAAATGAGGTTAAATTCAGCACTTCAAGTTATCATCTCCATTTAAACACCATTAACAGCCTTTCAAATAGTTTAAAAAGACAGGATTTTCTTGCACACACTCTTCCATAATCCATGGAAAGTAACCTCTGAACTCAATGCCACTATCACCTATTGTGCTTGCCACACAATTATTGTCGCAAGCAAACTTTATTGCAAGACTCTTTCTCTCTCACACAATGAAACAACTTGACTCCTCACTCTATCTCAGTTAGATTTGCCATATTCTTTATTTGTTTTGTTTGTTTCCCCCCGCCTCCCCCCCCCCCAAAATGGGTTGTATGAGAATAAAGTAAAGGGGAAGCCAAGCATCACAACTGGTAAGGGAGCTCCTCATCCACCAGGTCAACGCCTTGGTCTTAGAGTTGCTACATTCAAGTGGTACCGTCAAGTGATACCGTTTAGTGAGATCTCTATTACCAAATGACTTGACTTGTCTGGAGTTGCTTCCAGGCAGTGTGGAGGGAGGAAATAGATATGTAGAACATATTTTAGTAGTTGTGAATAGTTCACTTCGTCCTTGTAAAGCTATTTTAATAGTGTAGTTGTCCTTGTGTATGGTAGTCTTGTAAGATAAAGTAATAGTAAATCCTTTGTTGACTAGTATGTATTATTGATGAACAATGGAGATGAGGTGTGTGTATCTATATCTAGAGAAGGGGAGAGAGCAATAGGGTTTTATAGTAACTGTTTTGGGGCTAAAGGTTCATCCATCTCTCTCCAAAGTTAGTGTTTTCCTGAGTCCTGAATAAAATCTTCTTCAGTATTCTCTTGCAAGTACTCTTCTATATGTCTTTTTAGTAGTTCGACAGTATTTGAGGTGTTCAATTGCCAATTGTGTTAATCCATTGGCAGGACTCTCCTGATTAATCCCTTTTCGGTTGAGGTTTTATTTTGATTAATCCTTTTTCACCAATACAAAGACCCAGATATATGTCAATATGAATGTCCAAGTTGACACGTCATGTGATCTGACTATGTGGTTCAGGTTACCAATTGCACTATTTGTACAAGATAGAGTTTCTCATAAAAAAGAACAAAAACAAAGAATAATAACATCTACAATTGTGGACAAGAAAAAATGTATGACAAACTCCATTATCAAAAAGAGAACCCTAAAATAGTACAGCAAGACAAAAAATATAAAAAAAAGGCTTTGCTACCAGCAAACCAATACAAAGACCCAGATATATGTCAATATGAATGTCCAAGTTGACACGTCATGTGATCTGACTATGTGGTTCAGGTTACCAATTGCACTATTTGTACAAGATAGAGTTTCTCATAAAAAAGAACAAAAACAAAGAATAATAACATCTACAATTGTGGACAAGAAAAAATGTATGACAAACTCCATTATCAAAAAGAGAACCCTAAAATAGTACAGCAAGACAAAAAATATAAAAAAAAGGCTTTGCTACCAGCAAACCAATACAAAGACCCAGATATATGTCAATATGAATGTCCAAGTTGACACGTCATGTGATCTGACTATGTGGTTCAGGTTACCAATTGCACTATTTGTACAAGATAGAGTTTCTCATAAAAAAGAACAAAAACAAAGAATAATAACATCTACAATTGTGGACAAGAAAAAATGTATGACAAACTCCATTATCAAAAAGAGAACCCTAAAATAGTACAGCAAGACAAAAAATATAAAAAAAAGGCTTTGCTACCAGCAAACCAATACAAAGACCCAGATATATGTCAATATGAATGTCCAAGTTGACACGTCATGTGATCTGACTATGTGGTTCAGGTTACCAATTGCACTATTTGTACAAGATAGAGTTTCTCATAAAAAAGAACAAAAACAAAGAATAATAACATCTACAATTGTGGACAAGAAAAAATGTATGACAAACTCCATTATCAAAAAGAGAACCCTAAAATAGTACAGCAAGACAAAAAATATAAAAAAAAGGCTTTGCTACCAGCAAACCAATACAAAGACCCAGATATATGTCAATATGAATGTCCAAGTTGACACGTCATGTGATCTGACTATGTGGTTCAGGTTACCAATTGCACTATTTGTACAAGATAGAGTTTCTCATAAAAAAGAACAAAAACAAAGAATAATAACATCTACAATTGTGGACAAGAAAAAATGTATGACAAACTCCATTATCAAAAAGAGAACCCTAAAATAGTACAGCAAGACAAAAAATATAAAAAAAAGGCTTTGCTACCAGCAAACCAATACAAAGACCCAGATAAGGCTTCGAAGCATGGATATGAATACAACACAAACACACCAACATGGCATAAAAATATATAAGAACTAAAAATATATAAACAATAAACCTTAAATAAATGCAGGGTACAACATGGTGGGGACACTACATACAAATTTATATTCAACTTTTAATTAAATTTATTATACATTACTGTGCCATCAACAAATTGAGAAGAGTTAAAGAGTTTTATGTTTTCTTTATTTATTTTTGTGTGTGTGTGTGATGCTTCTATTTTGTTTTTCATTTTTCCTTAGTACATCTGGCCACAAGAGAAATAAAGACGGATAGGTTTGATGTTTGAGCCTGCTAATCATGTGGAAATATACAAACAGCCCATAAACCAAATTGGGCTTATGAAAATCAACCATATTTGAAGGATGAGACTGAAAAACTGCCATGTTAATATAAAAGGGGTCATCCAATATAAGGGAAGAGAATCAAAGAATATACAATAGATGAAGCAGGAGGAAGCTGTGAGGACAGAAAAATTTCTCTTCCTCTCATCACATCTTATCGCTGACCGATGAAAATAGCAGGTATTGTTCTTCTGGCTGAAGATATGACAACTTCTTTTTTTGCGTTGAAGACTTGTTTCAACTAAGCGTCTGGTAAGGGTCCAACAAGCAAAACTTTAAAAAAGGAACATTAGACCTATGTCTGACAAGTGGTGTTAGAATGTATCTCACATTGCCTAGAGTTGTCCCGTTTGTGCTGGTTATAAAGCTACAGTTTCCCTCTCCTTAATACCTGGGTTTTAAGGAGAAGTGTGGGTTGGGGCTTTTAACTTGGTATCAGAGCTTGGTTGGGCCTGTGATTGGTGTGCCGTTTGTCCGGCTATTGTATGCTGTGGTCTAGGAGGGTGTGTTAGAATGTGTTCCATATCGCTTGGAGTTGCCCTGTTTGTGCTAGTTATAAAGCTCTAGTTTCCCTCTCCTTAATACCTGGGTTTTAACGAGAAGTGTGTGCTGGAAATCACAAGCTGAACCAAACTCCGATATCAAATTGAAAAGCCCAGCTCCCACTTTTCCTTAAAACCCAAGTATTAAGGAGAGAGGTGAAACCTTATAACTAGTACATACAGATGGGACAACTCCAGGCGACGGTGTGACACATTTCAACACACCCTTTTGGACCACAACATACACTAGCCGGACAAACGGCATACCAATCACAGGCTCAACTAAGCTCTGATATCAAATTGAAAAGGCCTAATCAATTAGTGGTACCGCATGTCCAACACATGTCGATGTCAAACATTTGTTAGTGGATTAAGATAAACATTAGCCATATGCCTGACATGTGCCACCCATGTGGATTAAGATAAACAAGACATAAGAAAATAATACATTAAACTAGTCATTCATGCAGTGAACTTTCTCGTGTTGTTAAATCATTGTTTAAGGAGATGACAATGCCCAACTTGATCTACCTAAACAATCTTCTTCACCATGGATGGGTTGATAGACAGTGATGACCAAAGTGACAAAAATTAATCATCCACAACGAACATTTCCAATCCCATGTTGAAGAATCAATCTTCATGTTCATGCTAGTTTTTGCAGAGTCACCATATTGCAGTCAGCATACTATAAAACAAATTTTTCTTAATCATATTGTAAGAATTCAATTAACCCACTGGACCCAATAGTAAAGGAAAACTTCATACATAAACCAAGAAAATCACAGTGATCATCTTCCTCCTCAAGTCATTTGGACTACTGTTCAGTTAAAACAAACCAGGCCAACTTTGTGGCATGATTTTAGCATAGTGGCCAATTATGAGACTGTTTGAGCTACCATACCACCATAACAGTTTATAAGCTGAGCATTAATAGGACATGGTTGTTGATATAGTTTAGTTTTAAGTTTAGAAAAATCAGAATGCAGGTTCATAAACAGGTTTAAAGTCCTATCAAACAATTAGGCAAATCAATTGTGTGGTGTTGATATAGTTTAGCTTTAAGTTTAGAAAAATCGGAATGCAGGTTCATAAACATGTTTAAAGTCCTATCAAACAATTAGGCAAATCAATTGTGTGGTTTAAACATTTGCAAAGAAAGCTCATGAGAATTTGCTACGCATAAAAATGTCAAGTTTACAAAGTTGGCCCCATTTGGTAGAACTATGGGAAAGTGATTATAGCTTATAGTTTAATAACTTCTAACTTATAACTGTGAACATAAGCTGATTTTTGAATTATAAATTAAGCTTCTCCTCCCCCACTCAAAGAATAAGTTGATTTTTGACTTACAAAAAACTATAAGCTGTATTGGCCCTGTTTGGTAGAGCTTATTTTCAGCTTATTTCAACTTTTAGGTCCCGTTTGGGGACTTACCTTTTTAGCCAAAAAGTAAAAAAGTTACCTTTTTAGCCAAAAAGCCAACAACTCATATCAAAAAGTCAAAAATTCTCTTTTCTCTCTACTTTTTGCACATCTTTTCGTAATTAGTCAAAAAGTCATCCCAAACATATAAGTTTTTTTTACCTATTTTTTTAGCCAAATAGCTAAAAAGTTACTAAATTAGCATGTTCCCAAACGAGGCCTTAGGTTAATTTAAGCTATTTTGATGTGTTTGGTTCAACTTAACAATACAGCTTATAACTTTTTGTAAGTCAAAAATCAACTTATTCTTTGAGTGGGGGAGGAGAAGCTTAATTTATAAGTCAAAAATCAGCTTATGTTAACAGTTATAAGCTATAAGCTGTTAAACTATAAGCTATAATCACTTTCCTACAGCTTTACCAAACAGGGCAATTGTTAAGCTGAACCAAACACATTAAAATAGCATAAATTAAGCTAAAAGCTAAAATAAGCTGGAAATAAGCCCTACCAAACAGGGCCGTTCACAAAAACCAATTAATAGCTAAATCGAATAGAGTAAACCAATATAAATTTACCTTGCCATCGTACTCTTTCTTAAGTAAAACTTCCGGGGCTATATATGCAGGGGTTCCGACAGTTGACTTCGGTTGTGAATGCAGCACCGAATGCTGAGATGAACAAGAAGAGTCAAAATGCTTGTAAGAATGACCACCAACATATGAAGAAACAATGGATTATCAAAGATTACCATACTAGAATGACCCCTTTTTTTTCACAATGGGCTACTCATGCACACAAGCAATCAAACAACTGTCCATGCAATATTCTTAATAAAGTTTGGTCTTAAACTAGATAGAGATTCATAATCACAGAAACAATTTCAGAGATAAGAGCAACCTTGGAATACCCAAAATCACAAATCTTCAGCCTAGGAGCTGGGCTTCCATCCAGTAATGTGTTCTCCAATTTCAAGTCACGGTGACATACTTGCTTCATAAAGGAACATAGAACATTGAATCAAACTCAACCACTAATTCTGTACAAGGATAAGGGATAAATCGAAGTAACAAGAGAAACTTGTTTAGATACCATTTCATGACAGTAGCTGACTCCTGATATGAGTTGTTGGAAGAAGAATCGTGCCTGCAGTACAATAGGTGTTGATAAACCATAAGAAAATATTGAGATCCATCCAAGGGAAAACATCAATTAGAGGATAAAAACCTCATTCTCGTCGAACCGTCCTGCATTGCTTATCCGCGCAAAGAGCTCCCCACCAGATGCATACTCCATCACAATAGCCAGATGGGTAGGTGTTAATATGACCTAGAGTAGGGGTTACATGCCACTTAATTGAACTGAGCCTCAATCTCATTTTAAAGATATATATTAAAAAAGAGTGAGAGGCAAAGAGAGAAAAAAATGGATATTAAAAGAAAGAGAAATAATACACAGGGATAGAAATTGAACAGACCTCTTTGAATCGTACAATGTTTGGATGCCTCAATGATCTGTGGTTGATAATTTCCCTTTGTACATTTTCATCTATCTGTTACACAATTTTTTGATTTTTATATTATTTTTTATGATAAATCTGCAGAATGTAAAACTCAATTTCATACAGATAGAGAAATTGGAACACACAATTTTAACAATTGCCATAACATAACCAAGCAAATCGAGTCATGCAGCATGTATGCAGTAACTCAAATCATGTGAGTGAATAGACAGCGTGAACATCATCTTCTGAGACAGAGAGTAAGACACTTATATCTTGGAAATAATCATCAAGTCAGTTTGACTTGTTTCATAGATGAATCCACGATATACTCTCCTTAAATAGTAGAGTATGCCTGCTAATTCTTGCACTCTGCAAGTATCCAACTAATTTCAATAGTATCCTAACTTGTGAGACCCCTTGATTATAGTTCTTTCCCATTTCAGTCAAGAAAACATTCAATTTTACCAAATTTCAGTCAACAAAAGCATATTGTATAAAAAGAGCATCAAAAGGGATGCTGCTTTAAGAAATCAAGTTCAAAAATCTCAGCAATTTAATGGATCACTAACATTGACAGAGGCCAATTTCATACCCCTAAGTTATATTGAATTCAGAACATACTCAATAACAAAACCATGATAAAAAATTTAAATAATTCGCACACAAAACTACTTTCAACTCCACAACAAATTAATTTCCACTTACCAAACAATGAAACTAAGTTAAAAACTTAAAATTTGAATAGGATAAAAAATTAATAATAATAATAATAATAATAATAATAATAATAATAATAATTTGGGGTTGAAAAAGACAGACCTTTTCACCTCTCTCGATATACTTGACGGCGACAAGCTCTTCGGTCTGCTTATCCCTCATCAACCTCGCCACACCGAAATTCCCGGCACCGATGTCTCGCACCAGCTCGTAGCGATCGCTATCGTGCATAATCGGTATGTCCATGCCCGGACCAATTGTGACGGCAGATCGATCCATTTGTTTGTGTATCTACGAATAAATAGTGTGGAAACGAACTCGAACTCACATTATAGGACTGAAAAAGGGCTGAATGGTGATAGAGAGAGGAACCCTAACACAGGAATCGACGTGGAGGCAGGTGGATCAGAGAGGATTGGAGAAGAAAGAGACGGAAAGGTAGGAGAGCTCCGACCCCGTGAAGATTTTACTTACCCTCTCTCAACAGTCAACATATTACAGGTTTTTATTAGGGTTTTGAACACTTCGATGACGATGATGATTGATTTGGTGAGTTGGTGACGATGATGCAACAGTAGTCTAGAGAGAGAGAGAGAGAGAGCTCGTGAATTATCTGCCTGCCTCTTTTTTCTTTTAATTTTTTTTAGTAGTATATATTATTACTCCTACTTGTTATTTTTCTCTCTCTAAAAAGTTTCTTCTTCTTTGTTTTTTTTTTTCAAAAATGATTGGTGGCCCTAAAAAATTTGCCCCTAATGCCCCTAATTTCTAATTTTGGAAACTGTTTTTTTTTTTCTTTCTTTTTTCCTTTTTTTTTTCTTTTTTTTTTACCTAAAATGGCATTTCGGGGCATTCGAGCCCCGAAGCCTCGGGCCCTCCAACGCAGTGTGAGGGAGACGTAAATGGATAGTTATTTTTTAGTGAAAAATGTTTGGGAGCTAAGACCATCTCTAACGGTGAATTAAATTTAGTATTAAATTCAAATTTTGATGAAAAATTTATTTTTTCAAGTTTTAACCGTTGCATCAGATTGATATCAAAATGAGATTTCAGTAAAAAAAGCATCAAACTGAGAACGAGACACAGATTTTACCAAATCACTGTTACTGACCGTTGAAAGAGGTACACCGGTCAACCAGTAAAAGATTCAAACAGTTCAGGAAAAAAAGTTCAAACCGTTAAAAAAAAAAAAAAAAAAAATTTTGCCTAACCGATCAACCGGCCGGTCGACCACCCCGGTTGTCCCGAAAAAGTTCAGAAAGTTCAAAAAAAAGTTCAGGCAATTCGCCAAAAAAAAAAAAAAATTTTTTTTGCCTAACCGGTCAACCGGCCGGTCGACCACCCGGTTGTCCCGGGATAAATTTGGTGAAAGGTGAACCATTGGAGCGAGTGGTATCAAATTTAGTGAAATGGGTCATTTTTTATTCAAATTTGGTGAAAAATTTGAGTCACCGTTGGAGATGCTCTAAAGGAGCTCTCCATCTATAATCTATCAAAAATGTTAAAGGTCTTAAAAATTCTACCAAAAGTTTTACCAAATGTCTGTGGGATCCATATGGGATCCACATTGTGTGGGTTCCACACCCATGTGAGACATTTGGTAAAACTTTTGGTAAAATATTTGGGGTCGCATTACTCATAATCTATTCACCTGATGTTTCGGCCTTAAGTGTTTTTTTTTTTTTAAATTTTCACTACTCAATTAGAACTTCAAAATTAGAGGTATAAATCATTGCGGTTTTGTTTTAAAAAAAGAAAAATCATTCAGCTTGCTTGGTTTCAATTTTTTAAAAATATTTTTTAGAAAATTTTACTTTCTTATTTTTCGTATTTTTTTATTTTTACTGAATTTTTTTAATATTTTAAGTAATTTTTTTTTACTTTTTAGACACACTTAACATAACTACACCTAAAAAGTCAAAAAATTGTAAAAAAAATCTTTTAAAATATTTTTTCACAAGTTTTTTACTTTTTAAATATATTTAAGTAAGGTGTATCTAAAAAAGTAAAAAAAAATGTTTAAAATTTTAAAAATATTCACTAAAAATAAAAAAATACGAAAACCAAAAAACTCAGGGTATGTTTGGTTTGGATTTCTAGAGTGATTTTGGAAAAAAAAATTTAAAAAAATTTGTTTGGTTTGTAAATTTTCCAAAACAATTTTCAAAATCACTTTCTCTCTCTTACCTATCAATCAATCAGTTTTTCTCTCTCTTCTCTCCTTCTCAGTCACTTTTTCTCTCACACACATCTACTCAATTATAACAAAATATCAAATAATTCCAAACTCCTAACTCCAAAACTACTTTCAAAATACACAACTAAACAAACAAAAAAAACTTCTAAACTCTCTCCTAAAAACAATTTTTAAAAACTACTCTCCCAAAACCAAACCACAAATACCCTCAGTTTTCAAAAAATTTAATTCAAAAAACTCAAACCAAACATACTGATTGTCGTTTTTTAGTAAATTTTTTGTAATATATTTCTGAATCAGTGCAACGTTGTTAGAAACCTTTTTTTAAAAAAAACCAAATTATTACATGGTGACAAATTCTAAAATTAATTAGGTATTTATTAGCTCATAAATTGATTTTGTTTAGTCAACAATCTAAAATCTAAAATATTTTATTTATAAGAATATGTTTACACAAAATAAGTTGAATCCATTTCAAATTTTAACTAATCAACCAATCGAGTTTGCAGACCAAGATATGTCTTTAACATTGCCGGCTAAGATCAGATAAAGTTGGTCTTTGAGTCCATTAAGCTATTTTTTAACCTTCTTTTGTTTACAGTATCATTAGTTTTTGTTCATTTTTTATTTTATATTTTTGGTATTCTCATGTATTTTCAGCTTTGGGCTCTAAGACCATTTGCCTAATTTTATTTGATTTTATTTTTAGGTTATGGTTTTCTTAGTTTGAAAACTTCTACTATCCAAGAAAAAAATTACTTGAAAAGAAAAGTTGGTGTGTTTAACTATAAAAAAATACTTAGGGGTGTTTTGGGAACACACTAAAAAGGCCAATTTTTTGGCTTTTTAGCTTTTTTTAATCCAAAAAATCAGTTTTTTTACTCAAAACAATCCAATTTTTTGCCAAAAAAGTCAGTTTTTTTTACCAACTTTCTAAAATATCACTTAATAGCTCGAATTTGTGTGACTTGAATGACTCGAATGTATCAAAATAACGTCGTTTTACCCCCAAAATGATATCGTTTTAAGACATTCGAACCATTCAAGTTATGAAAATTTGAGCTATTAAACATTATTGTTTAAAAAATTTGAGAATTTGGGCTTAGATTGCATGTTTTTAGACTTAAAAAGTTGGGCTCTATTTTATTACTCTTAAAAATTTGAGCTATTAAACATTATTATTACTCCTTTATTCATTATATTACTCTTTTATCTTTTTTATATTTGATTATTTTTTCACTTTAGCTTTTATAATTTTTTTTTTCACTTTGACTTTTCACGTTTTAATTTTTCTTAATGTACTTCTAAAGGTAATTTTTGTTCAAAATAAGACAAAAAATACTACAATAACTATCACATAACATAGAAGTATATTATTATATTGAAATTTAAATTTATGTCAAATTTGTGGGTCATATATAATAAAATACTTGTATGCCACGTAATTGTGAATGTGTCATTTTCTGTCTTATTTTTAATAGAAATTAGGTGTAGAAATAAAGTGATAAAAACTTAAAACATAAAGGGTCAAAGTGAAAAAAAAAAATTTGAAAGACTAAAGTGAAAAAATAATCACGTATAAAAGATGCAATGTAATTTACCCTTATTTTATTTTGTTGAACACCGGTTGAGTGGACATAATAACACTTTACTTTTATTTTTGTGACCTATTTATCCTTTTCATTATATGTGTTGTCTTTCCATCTTTGTTCCTATCGTTTACAACCATCATCATGGTTGCATAACTTGGTAGCAGAACATTCACAACCTTCAAGCACTTGATCCAGTCCAGACAACTTTTCTATTCTCGTCTTCGTTTGCCATGTCAAGTTTTTTAATTTTTTAATTATTTTAGTTACAAAAAGATAAAATAAAATTTTTAATCCAATAAAACAAAATTTCACATTTAAATCATAATCATTTCATTTTTTCTTTTACAAAAGTTAAAAAGCCTAATCCAAATAAAACTTTTTAATCTCAAAATTAAAATAATAAAATAATAAAAAAATTAACCCACATCTCAAACAAACCCTAAATATCTTGATTCTTTCGGAACATTGGCTCTTTCACGTTGCATAACTTGGTTGCATATCATCATCATTAAGTAGGGCACATGTCTGGTTACTACAATTTCAACCTCAATAATTGTTTTGGAGTGATGTTGGAGATCCCAGTGACTAAGCACCCTAGCATCCTCCAGTGCCACATGGCACACTGCCAATGGCTGAAGTCCAAAAAAAAAAAAAAAAAAAAGTTTTCCAGCCAATCAGCAAGGACTCCAGCATCAATTTTATTGTGAATCAGAGTAAAATTTTACTGTTTACATCAATTTTGACATTTTTAATTTTTTTATAAAGAATTTTATAATTAACATGGATCTTATTTAATAGATTTTTCATAAGAAGATTTTAAAAAAAACTAATTTTATTAAAATTTGACATCTAAATTAAAAGTTATATTATTTTAAAGTTTAATATATTAAATTAGTCACTAAGAATATTTTGGTAATAGTATGCCTTTCCGAAAACAAAGTTTGAGGCTTAGTTACTTTAAGCTTCCTTAGGGGACACTCATTGAATTAATTTTGAAGAAAAACTTTTTGTACTTGTACATTAAAATTTTATTATGAGAGATTTTGACCAAATTTTTCTTTAAAATATTTTAACTACTTGCCAAAATAGGCCATAGGCTTATAGAATGGTCAAGTTGAGCTTGTTACACGGGTTTGGAGGTCTTGGGCTTTTTTCTCTTAGCCAAAGCCCTAAATTATCACATACAGAATGAGACATGATGGGCACTAAGAGCATCCACATCAACCTCAATAAATTTTGAGTTAAATTATAGCAAAATAGTTGTTTTTGTATTTTAGTTAGTATTTTTGTATGTACACGCTATATCATACTCTATTTTAAATTTTAATTTTATAAAATATTCATTTTTATGATTTGCTGGATTATGTAAACAACCTGTCCAAACTGCTTCCAACAACATCTACGAGAACTTTTTCAAAAAATAAAATAAAATAATAATGATGGTGTAGCAGTCAGTCATCTAGCCTGATAACCGACAAGATGTCTGGTAAATATTATATTTTACATTCTTAAAAAAAATTAAAAAAAAATTATATGAGGCAACAACCGATTGTCCGACAGAATGTCCGATCATTCTTAAGAATAAATAATAAAATATTGTATAACTTATGAACAGTACTTCGTTTGATGAAGTGAAGCATTGTAACAATGACAAATTTTGTTTTGCAATAACCAACTTGATGGAGGATTGGTTTAAAACTTTGATTTGCTAATATAACCCTAAAATCATAAGGGGAAATTACCCATAGGTCCCATGTGGAACATGTGGACACCATTTAATCCCATAACTTTTTGAGTACACCCAAAAGTCCTTTCCCCTCTCTCTCTGCTTTTTGCTTCCCTCTTTACGCCTCATCCTCGAACCCTAATATCAGTCCTAAAG